CTCAGCACGGAACTACCCCCCCCCGCCCCCACCCCCCCAACCCTTTCCCATTAGTCCATTTTAAGTAAAGTGTAGGCCCTAGTGGGGGGGACGCCTACTACTACTACTACTGATTCCTACAATGTTATGATTTAACCTAAAAAACAACCGCTTCTCGTGTTCTGACTCTGAGGTTCTCGACATGGCTCAGGATCTCATACAGGCCGGCATGAACAAAATTCAGGTATGCAACTTTCATGTTGACCACGAGGTTGTAGCAAGCGAGCCCTGCTTCACGAGGCCATTGGCATCATGCTCAACAACTGCTTCTACCAAACCATAATAATGTTCCTGTTCGGGCAAATCTGATTTTTTAGCAATGCACCCATGCCCAATCATAATAACTTCTTTCATGTTCGGGTGCGATTATTAGGGGAGCACCCATGTCAAGACTAGAATAGCGTTCACGTTTGAGTGCATCCGATTACCAAAGCATCCATGCCCAAACCATAATAACGTTCATATTCCAGCGCATCTACGTCCCAGAGCACACATGCCCCAGACATGCCCAAACCACTCAAAAAATTCCGGAGAATTTTTCGCGGCCCCTAAGAACACGACTACCGCCCCTGCCGGTGCTTTTGACCGGCGATGGTAGAAATAATGTCAGTAGAAGTAGTAATAGTAGTAGTGGCAGTAGTAGTAGTAGTAGTAGTAGCAGCAGCAGTAATAGTAGTAGTAGGGGGAATCGGGAAGTTGAGTAGGAGTAGTACGAGTCTAGTATACCAGTAGGACTGCTTTATCAGCTTGGCGGCATCTGTGTACAGCTTGGCAGAAAGGACGGCATAGATGGCCTTGGCTGGTGCACTATTTGGCTTGAAGCTTGGTAGACGCCCTGCTCGGAAGAAGTTTTTGTCACCAAAGAGCCAAGAAAGATGCAGTTTCTACTTGGAGCCAGTGATATCGACTTCAGAGTCAAGCAAGGCAGCTTCTACCAGTCCATGTCCATCTTTTCTTCTGCAAAGTGAACGTCAGGTTCTTCTCATGACCACTGTCTTAGCCATTCTTGTTCACTTCGGTTCACAGTACCCAGTCCCTGCTTTTCACGACCATAGTATTGCACCATCAATCAAAGTATTCTGGCCTTCGCGGATGCTTGCATATGAGGCGGGTAATTCCATCCAGCAGCCCTTTCACCCCAGTTCTCTCTACCAGAATCAGAACTCTACCGAGATTGACATACATGGTTCAAGCTGTTCTGAAGCTCTATACACCAGCTTCCTTAGTCCTCAGTGACTCATCAGACAGATCATTCCAAATTGCATACCCTTCTGGGGCCCTTCGAAATGCTGTCCGCCGAGCATGTCTCACACTACCAAGAGCATTTTCGTACACGGGCCCGTCTAACCAGAGAAAAGCCCGGAGCCGTCAACTCTCAGTATCCTGCAGCCCCTGAAACCCAAGGACTGAACCCCTACAACCCCCTAAACCCTACACCTCAAACCCCCTGTAACGAACAATCCCAACTCTCCTCCGCCCTGGAATCAGGCCAGCTTCTGCACCAGCCACAGAAAAGATGTAGGCGAAGGCAAGCCAGGCAACCTTCAGCACTGAGAGCAGACTTCATGCCATGATGCAACTAAGCATGTGATGCCAGTGTTCATACTGCTTGGCGGCATATGAGGATATACATCTTCGAGGGATAACCGCGCATCAGACCTTGTTTTTCCCCGTTGGGAACTTCGGGCCAAAACGTTCGAGTCTTGGGCCTTGGGGGCTTGAGTTCCAAATTGCAGGGCTGGGGCCTCAAGAATCTGACTTGGGGGTGGTATAGTCTCCCTTAAGTAGATAGAATATGGTGTATATGAGGATCTTATTACGACACTGGGCTATTGCATGTTCTATTTACTTAAGGGGGTGGTAAGCTCAAGATGGGTCTCCCGCCAGCTGCGCAACGTTTTCTTGCATCCCGTAGTCAAAGATGGTAGCTCCTAAGTTTTGGCCATACCTTTACCAAGAGCATTGGGACACAAGACCTCGTCCCCATGAACCCTATACCCCCACAACCTGGACCCAATATTCAAAATTTGGAGGCTAATATACTGGAAGATACTAAAATATACTATGATAGACTACAATACATTATAAACTACTAGAATATATATATATATGAAACGTAAGCAGCCTCAACCTACTCCTTTTGGCATGTCTGGGTAATTGCAGTAATTGCAGACACTGACAAGGTCCAAGGCCAACGGAGGGCACGACTTTGACATATTATAACATACTATATAATACCAGAAAATACTATAATACTAGAATGTAGCTTATCTCTGTTGCGTTCTATTCATCCCGGAACCGCTGGCACACTGACCTGAATGAAAACCATCCGGAAAAAAAGAAGTGCATCCGACCGCGACTGAGCATACCAGTAACATATTTTGCAACAATGATGGCTATTGTACTACTTGCCGATGTAAAGGCAAAAGCAGACATGGGTGTTTCTGTACAGTCTGCCCCCAGAGCAAATCTTTAGCATGGCGACCTATGACGGAGCATTGCTTTGACGAAGCCCCTCCCGGAAACTAAGCATGAATGAATGGTAACCCAAGCCTGTTCCTCAGTTTCCCCTGCAGCGACTACATTGAATCCACGCTCAATTTAATTCTAACTATGTTGCCCTCGACCCCTGAACAGAAGCGTGCCACCTTGGTCCAGACGAGGTCCAACTGCCTCAGGGAAACCCCAAGGTAGGGGAGGACTTCGGAAATCCTTCGTGTGTAGGATCATGGTAGTTCAGGCAAATGGAAAGCAACGTGGGATGTCCTTATCGCATTCCGGCACTGTCCTTTCGAATTTGGCCAGGGGGATGGGGACCTTTGAGCCATAGTCTAAACTCCTATCCTCCGGTAAGTAACCCCTCTAGTAGGCCCCTGTAGCATCCCTTATATTACCCCCTTTAAGCAGTTTAGATCCTAAACCCTCAACTCTAAACCCTACACCCTGAACCCTGGATGATCCCCTACTGTAAATGTGAAGATGTAGTTTCTT